CATCAGAGAGACAGCAAAAAGTCACCCTCTTGGGATGGCCATGCTGCAATCCCTCCTCCTTTATTGTCTTCTCAGAATTTTGGATATGAATGGACGTGTGCCCACCATGAGTTTCAGGCCATGAGGTCCAGGACTCAGACTGTGATTGGCCATGTGGGAGTCCAGCGACGTAACCATCATGCCATCTGCTGGTCCCCAGAGTTGTTTTTGTCCACAGCGTGGGCTTCCCATCTCACATCTCTGTCCTCTCTTTCTCTTGGCATTCTGAAAGCTCTTTCCTTTTGGGGAACTCTGATGATGGGGACCATCAGACCCCATGGTCTCCACTTCTTATCTAGGCTGTTGTTGACCCAGACTGACTTTCATGATGTCCAGTTCTCTGCTTGTGAATGTAAGTGGTGCCCTAATCTGTCTATGTTCTGGCCAGCCCTGAGTGGAGTTCGTCTTCTGTCAGTACAGACACGTTCTGCCTTGGTTATTCTCACTTCTGTTGAATGTCTTTGCCTCCAGGCACTCACACGGTTTCAATGCCTGGAATGGCTTCATGTTATGGATGCTCCAGGAGAAATTAGTAAAAAACAACAACGACAACAACAACCAACCAAACAAACCCAAACTGTCACTATCAAAAGAGTTCTGACTTCAATGAGTAATGAAGTTGTGTGAATCCCAACTTGTGGTTCCAAAGGATTTCCATAAGCCTCTTGATTTCCAAATGAGAAAATCATGATAAGGAGTTAATTAGCTTTTTAAGTGAAGGCGAGCCACCACAGACACTGCTGTGCTCTCCACGCTCTCAGGAGAGGGAGACCAGCGCCACATCTTGAAAAACATGCCGCGCAAGCATGAAAACGGAGTTCATATAAATTCAAGTAATGTCCTTTGACTTTTCATTAAGCTGGGCATGTTCCAGTTACCCCTTGGGGACTTTCTTAATGTTATCATGGCAACATACAATTAAGTCAGATTACATTTTTTATATGCAGGGAGAGGTGCTAAGATACCGTTCTAAATTATTCATCAGTTCACTTTTCACAAAACAACCCCAGATATGACTTTAAGATGTGCAATATTAAAAAATAGAAGATAATTTGATATTGCTAGATCATGTAAAGAAGCCTTTCTTTCTTTCCCCAGGGAGAACAAAAGACTTAATCGAATGCCACATGTGTCGCTGTGCTTATCACAATTTACCGTATTACTCTGAATCATGTGGCAGACTGTGAACTCCTTGAGAATTAGCAGAAGTTTCTTCCCCAGGGCTGGTGTATTTTGATTTCAGCATTATAAAGCCAGGGACAGCTCTGAAAAGGAGCTAAATTTTTTCTCTCTCTTTCTGTCTCAGTCTCTGTTTGGTTCTCGGTGATCTTGTAACAGTCACTGAGGAGTGATGGCACTGAAGAGTCATTAAGGAGACTGATTAAATAAAGGCACCTTCTGAAAAGCATCACACTAATGTGCCTTAAGGGTTCCTCTGATTTTCAAAACAAGATCCCTTGTTTCAAAGGTGAAGGAATGAACTGGGATAATAAGTCACATAGCTATCAGCCAGCCCAAGCGGGATAGACCCAGTGTTGGGAGACATCCTTCCGTGGGTCTCTTGTGCCCCTGTGCACCCTGCTGGGTATGCCAGAGTTAGAAGGCCCTGCCCACTCTCTCTAGGTCTATTTCTCAAGATTCATTTGCAGCCAGCAACCTTGAAGGATGAGGTAATGTCTCCTCTAAGATATAGAAAGCAGTTTTTTTTACGTACCACACTTTTGTAGAATGATGAGTTTCCAGGCTTAGTATTCCCTTCCTGTAATGCAGCCTGCTTTGTGTGCATACATCAAGGTCCATTTGCACTGGCCCTGAGGGAGTTGGGGCTCAGTGACAAGACGATGCTGATGTTCTGGCTACTGCGTTTGTTGTGAGTAGCAGCGTCTTTTGTTTCTGATTTAAGAAAGCATCCATTAAACTGTGGCAAGTTAACTTGTTAGCTTTCAAGTAGGGCATGTTTCAGACTCTTCACAGATCCTGACAATTAACATGTGATACTTGTGATTTCATTCCCTTGGGTATTCTGAAGATATGGTTCTTCTGGTTGGAATATTCGACCGTACTCTAACCCAATCCTCATATGCTTTTAAGCTAAAATGTGAATAGGAACTTTCTTTGTTAGCAAGATCTAGAGAAGAAGAGTCCGTCACTAACCTCCAAGAAATAAAATGCCATGCCTAAAATCCCTACTACACCTTCACTATCACCAGGGTATACTTGATAAGTCTTGATTTATTAATCCCTTATGGGCAAGGTAGACAGAAGAACCTCTTAGGTGTGGCACATAGTTGCTCCCTAAATCTTACATGTTCAACATCCTCATGCACTTGGGAGAAATCCAGGTGCATTATTTATATTTACTTATGGCCCCATCCTCAAATTCAGATTCTAGAAGCTGTGCCTTTGAAACTTATTTGGATGGTGGGGATCTTAACCCCTAATCTTTGAGCCATTTCTGTTGTTTACAAGTGCATGTGAAAATACATGCGCAAGAGCCAATGAACAATTGAAACTCCATCTAGCTCTGAGACTTCGGCCTAGCACAAAGCAATCACACTGTATTTATTTGGGGACATAACGTTGTTCTTTCTAGCTGGACATGCCCTTGCCCAGCAAAAATAGTTCTGTTTATTGTTCTGATTTGATTATTATAGGTTGTATGCATGTATTGATAAATTACACTGTACTCCATTTATAAACTACTATGTCAGTGAAAAACAATAAAGAATAAAAAAATTTTAAAAAATTGGTTGCTGTTATTACTATGACCTGGTTTTGAGAGGCCAGACTTTCCAAGAAGTAGGTAACAGAAGTACACCTGCTACAACCACCGCCACTCCAACAACAACAGTTCTCCATACATTCATTGTATCTTCTGCATCAGGTATTTTAAACCTATGCTCTCTAAACTCCACAGCAGCCTTGAGAGCTGGATATCATATTGCCTACTTTATACTTCAGGGAATCGGAACTAACTTCATCACATAGCTTCTGAATGCCCAAACTAGGATTATTATCCAGACTCTTTGAGTTCAAAATCTTTCCTTTTTGTCTTTCTTTATTTTTCTTTCTTTCTTTTTTTTTTTAAGAGATTTTTGCTACAGGGTGTGTGTACTCACCAGACAGATAGAAAGCAAGAATAGGGGAATGGCTATGCTGCAATCCCTTCTCCTCCATTCTCCTCTTAGGATTTTGGGCATGCATGTACATGTCCTCAGCATGAGTTTTACGCCGCTGGGTCTGGGACCCAAACCATGGTCTACTGGGTGGGAGTCCAGCGACTTAACCATTATGCCATCTGTTGGTCCCTAATTCCATTTTCTTTGCTAAAGGCTCAGCAGTATGAGATGTGGTCTATGAAATTCATGAAGACCATCATTTTCTAGTTCAATCCTTCCTATTTTGCCTCAGCTCTGTTTCTGGGTATACTCCCTGCTATTTATGCACAAACAGACTTTAAAGCATAGCCAAATAGAAATACTAGTAATTCTACATAGTGTTGTCAATTAGTCTCATTCTGTGCTTTTGCCTAAGCCCGAAACAGTCCACTTTTTCTGTTACAATTCACTATAAGCCTTACCACACCTTTGAAGGCCTTAACTAAAATCTCTTCACCATAAAACCATTTCATATTTCCATAGCTTGTTGTAAATTTTTCCTCCTTTGGACATTACAGTCCCATTTCTTGTCTAAGTCCCTGATAATACATTGCCTTAGTGCACCTTCTTCTTCTAGACTATGTGCTTCTGAAAAGCAAGTTGTCCTAGAGCCCCAGTCTTTCTTGTGCTTCGGATCCACATACCCCACTGCCTACTGAACATCTCCCTTGGGCATTCCACAGAGAAACTGTGATTCAGTACAGCCAGAACCGCACTCCTCATCTCCTTCACAAATACGTGTCTCCTCCAATTCTCCCACCTCTGCCCCCTTTACACTCATTTGCTTAAGCCAGAAATATGGGAATCAGCACTGACCCCTTTCTGCACATCAGTCTTCACTTCATTTAAGCCTATTGCACTGACTTCAAATCCATTTCCCTTGTGATTTCTCAAGTTCAAGTGAACATCGTTTCCCACCCAGATTACTATAGCAGTTTCCTTTACACTAACCTCCCAACTTCCAAGTTTCCCCACTGGAAACCCTTCTCACTACTGCAGTCAGAGCAAATCGTAAAACATTTGTTTAAAAGAAAGCAAACCCGACCATGTCCCTCTCCTGCTTAGAATTCTGCTGCTCAGAAATTGACCTTGGAGAGGTCAGCAGGTGGCATACTGGTTAAGGCACTGGATTCCCATAGCGTCGACCATGGTTTGAGTCCCATACCTGGCAGCTTGAAATTCACACTGGGCACATGTACATGCATGCCCCAAATCCCAAGAGGAGAATGGAGAAGAAAAAGCAGTGTGGCTATTTCTCCTGAGGGATGACTTCTCACTTTCTGCCTCTCTTTCAGTCTCTTTCTCTCCAGCAAGCACCCACACCCTATAGCAAAAATATACCCCCCGTCAAAAAAAGAAATTGACCTTAGGATAAAGTGTAAACAAATGATATATATGATTTTTTCCTTATGTGACTATTTTACACCTCTCTAGCTGTATCTTTCATAAGTTCCCTTCTTCTTTATGTTTTGGCCACCCTAAATTTAATTTTTTTCCCCAACTTAACAGTGCCCTTTCCCACATATTTTTTCTTTATCTCCAAGGAGATGTTTCTGTCCCCACCTTGACACACACATTTTTATCTAGATACTCTTCGAATATATCTTAGTTTACATACAACTTCTGAAAAGCTTCCCCTGACCTCACAAAGACGGACTTTGATGCTCTCTACTGTCCTATCATAACTTTGTGACTCCCTAATCACGAGCAGTGTTAGAATTCTTTAATGATCTGCCTTTCTTACTAGACCAATTAGAGCATATCTATTAAAACCTGGATATCTATGGAATTCTTTCCTGCAAGGTATTTGTCTCTCCAACTAGATACGAAGTCTTGGCAGAGCTTGGATTCGACTCCATGTGATTATGAACCTCCACAGAGCCTACTGCACAGGTAGGTACACCAAACATTTGGCCTTTTGGTATTTGAGAATAAAACAGGTATTTTCTGTCTTTTGAAATATTTGCAACTGGTCACAAGAATTATTAGAAATATTCTTGTATCTTTTCATTGCTATAGTTTTTTGCTTGCTTGTTTTACTTTAGTATTTTTTTGTGTGTGTGTGAAATTAATAATGCCTTGGTAGCAAGCAAGGGTTAATGGCTGTTTTAAAAGGGCCCAGAGAAGGTAGGAAAGAACTTGTCTGTGTTCATGATGACATTAATTTATGAGGAAGGGTTGGAAGAGCAAGCCAATCAAATACTGGATTCCAAATTACCATATATCACACAATTTATGAGGCAGTCAAAAGTGTTATTAAATTGAAGACCAGAACAACCTTCTTAATTCATCCTTATGACAGTGATTGTAACGACTCTAAAGAACCTGGTTTAACCTGAGTTCATTTTATGAAAGGCCTTCATTCTTATAAAATTACACAGTGAATTATAAAGAAAGCATGACTTAAAATGTATACAGTTAAAGCATAATAAAAATGCCTCTATCATGCATTTATTGAAGGCATACAGTGGGTTCTGGTTTTGGAAAAACTTACTGGTGCATTTCTCTCTTTATATGTCAACAAAGTAATTAGTCTCCAGATTTCACTAAAGTAATCTTGCTTTTTCTTCTTTTTTTTTTATGCTCTTATGGCCCCAACATATCTCCTAATCAGATCTTAATGTTTGTCTTCTAGTAAATCTGGAGAAATCAGCTTGCCCGGCCAATTGGATGCTCCCCTCGAATCTTGCTGCAGGTAAAACCAGCACCTGTACACCCAAGAAGAGTCATGGAGGAGGGCTCACTCTGATCTGTGTTTTGGGTCTCATTGATGTCTGGCTTTGTGGACTCCACTGAAAGCTGCTAGTACAGTGCCTCTGTTCCCGCTACTGGCTCATAAGGAGCTGGGATACTGTTGGATGCAATAACCTTGCATAGTTCCCTACCCCAGCCCCCAACTTCCAGCTGTAGGCACAAAGTGGGTGCCCCATAATACCTGTGGCATGAGTGAAAAAAATATTTTTACTTTTTTTAAAATTTCTTGACTATTATAATCTACTGGTTTATACTCTCAACTCAAGACTCACTCAGATAGGTACCAACATATGGGTGATGTTTTCACTTGGTGTCCTGGCCAAAACATTGACATTCTTGGATGGTTTGGGGGCGGGGGGCTGGATGCAGCTCTCCTAAAGCTCATAAAATGGCCCTGGGTACAGCATTTCAGTGTGTTATGTGCACTGGCCTTAGTTATACTAAAGGGGTAGCCAGTAAACATGTGGTTGCAGTTTTCTTCCACCGTGCTGGGTGGATTTTTTTAAAAGGTTTTTGCCATAGGATACATGCATTTGGTGGAGTGAAACAGAGAGAGACAGTGAGAGGAAAAGTGAGAAATCATCCCCCAGGGGGTGGCCATGCTACAGTCCCTTCTCCTCCATTTTCCTTTTGGGATGTTGGCCATACATGCAAATGTACCCGGCATGATGATCACTCTGCTAGGCTTGGGAATTGGTCCATGGTCAGTCATGTGGGAGCCCAGTGCTATAATTACTACACTAGCTGCTGGCTCCGACTAGGGTGGATTTTGATCTTCTGAAAAGGCGGAGCACCCAAAGTAGCTTCTAAAATCGCAGGTAAGACACATATTTCGATTAGCCCTCAAGTGGGGACATGGCCTCCGAGAGGGCCTGGCACCATGTGACTTAGACTGTGGCCATGTGACTGGCGAGAGTTAACCATGTAGGGCCATCACATGCCCCATTAATAGAAAGCACTAATAATCAGTACCTTGGTCTACTATTCTTTGCTCTGCCCCTGGAGTGATGCTACTTTGTCCCATTGGTGATGCCACTGGGCTTTTGGGGAAAAGGGGGAATATAAAAACCAAGAAAAACTTCTAAATTATTATGTCTGAGCTGACTCTTGAATCGTAAAGAAGAATTATTAATATAAATAAGCTTATACAGATGTTTTGAGTAGAAGCAACAACTTTAAGATACAGAAATGAAAAATTAAAAGGATTGTATGGAGAGATGGGAAATTAATGGGAGCTTAAGAGTGGCCAACGTTCAGGGTGGAGAATTAATTCTGAAGAGTTCTAGATGGGCTGAGATTACAAACTTTGATTTGAACTCAACAAAGAAACACTGAAGGATTTTAAGTAGCAGTGGAATGGTCAGTTCCTAATTTTTGAAAAATCACTTACTCCGACTGAAAATGAGAGTCTGAAGAATTAGGAGACTGATGGAGAAGTTTTGCTAACAGAGATGGAAGCCTGAGCCAGAGCAATGAGGTGGAGAGGAAGCCATGCTGCTCCTACCCTGTCAAGTTCTTTTCTGGAATTCTGGATTTCTGCTGAGTCGTTTGTGATTCTATTTCAGGATCTCTCTCTCAGTCTCTCTCTCTTTGTCTTTCAGTAGTGATTACAACCTTGTAAGAGGTAGACTGAATTGGTAGAATTTCAAGAGAGACTAATGAGTGAAGCAGTAGCTTCCAGAGAGGAAGGCCTTTTTCTGGTCCTTGACATCATGCTATTGCCCTGGTTATTCGTTCTTAGGATCTTTCCTGGCTCTGTTTCAGGGTGACTTTCAGAGACTGATCTGCTGGTGCTCGGTCTTTCTACTTCATCCTGAGCTGCTTATCTCCCAGCAAGTCCAGCCATTCCAGCTAGACTTACAGCATACAGACAGGTGCTAGGGGCCCCTAGAACCTAGGATCTAAATAGGCTCCTTCAGAATGCCCATAGTTCTCTGTGTTTACTAGGATGGGCGGGGAATTTGCCAAATATGTTTCTCACGTAGCTTCTTGCAACTGCTAGAGCTATGACTTTGATTCTTTCTAGAATTTTAGAATCTATGACTGGTTACTCCAATGTGAAAATTTCTTCAAAACTGTTGTTGCTAATGTTCAGCATATGCTTGAATGCTTCCATCAACAATGAACTTACTGTCTTTCATAGGAGAACTTTCTACATTAGGATAAACAGACTTCTAAGAATCTCTACCTATATTGTTAAAAAATATTTTTCTTAACTTTCTATACATTGGTCTTTATTTTATTTGTAGACCTAGCAGAACATGAAAGAACTGAAGATATTCACAATCACTGCAGAGTTTTCACTTGCAGAGTTTTCACTTCTTAAAGGTAAACATCCTCCACACCTGGGATTAGATCCCAAATTATATGGTTTCTAATATTTCTGCCATTTTTATCTTTCTGTGGATATGAAGGGGCTTCCAAAAGTTCATGGAAAAATGAAATTAAAGTATGAGTTTATTTTAGTGTTGTAGTCATTTTGAAAGCCATACAGAGCTTTTTCATAATATGTAATTTCTTTTTTTTAAGAGAGGTTTTTTCTGTAGGTTTTTTCATGTGCTCACCAAAGAGACAAGAGACAGAGTGACAGAAAGCAAGAAATCACCCCCACACATCCCCCAGCCCTGGAAGGGATAGCCACACCATTACGCATCCTCTAATCTCCTCTCAGGATTGTGGACATGCATGCACATGCAGTGTGAGTTTCAAGCCACCAGGTCCAGGACAAGAACTACAGTCTACCATGTAGGAGTCCAGCAATGTAATGATTACACCATTTACTGGAATTTTCTAGAAACTTTTTGAAAAACCTTTCCTCTTAAGTTAGTGTTCACAGCTCACTCTAGTGAAGGCAACTCACATTCTTATAAATAAGGGCAAACCTGGTGGGGACACACTGACAGTATTTTGAGAACAATGCTCTGAAAGAAACATAGGATAGGATTGGGGGCAGCAAGACACAGAGAGAAGCTGGCAACTAGGGCTCTCTTCAGCTATAGACAGGCTTCTGCCATGTGACAGTGGGGGCAGAGCTTAGGTCTATAGTCAACTCCATGCTCTCAGCATCCAAGGTTTGTAAACTCATTTAATAAGAGATAACCAGATATAAAACTGAAGGAAAACTTTGGATGGGTGTGGCATGGGTTCTACTATCATTCCTGAACAAGACATTGACTTGAGGGATAAGGGTACCATTTTGAGTGATAACCTCTGTTGTAAGACTCTCTAGCACTGAGGAGAGGAGGAATGGGAAAACACTGTGGTTGGGAGCCCCTGTGGAGCATTCTGGAGTGGGGAAAAGCAGTTCTCAAAAGGAAAAGAGGTAGTCTTTCTAGAAAAAGAGGGACAGGAAACAGAATATTCAAAATCAATAGATGTCTCTTAAATTGAGGGATCAAAAAAAGGAGTGAAGAGTGACTGAAGGAAACCAACACAAAATTGTCCTTTGACTTCACAGTTTATCTAGAACATTGAAAGAGCCCAATTTCTTAATGCTGGAGAGATCTGTCTCTTTCAACATTTTCAATCTCATTTGAAGAATGGCATCCTTATAACACTGAGGTGTGCTTCCTCAATAGCTTGTATTAAAACAGCACCCCAGCACCCTGGGGTTCTCTCCAGAATAGATAATGGAATACTCTGGCTCTGTCCACCCATCCCTCCAAATGATACCTCTTCTTCCCTCTGGGCTATGGAATTTAAGAGCATTAAGAGGCTACTGAGGTGATGCCCAGTGTCACCTTCTAGATACAAGGTGGGATAGGAGGTCAATGATTTGGCCTGCTCTGGGCTCTTGGATTTTCATATACTCTGAAAAAAATCTCTTTGATTTCAGTTCATCGTAACATGCCTAGAGTTTGACCTTATCATTGAATGGCCATTTAAAGAAAATCTTAATAAGAAACTCCAGCCCAAGTATCCCCTTAATGTGATGTTTTGAAAAGTTGTTTCAGCCTCTTTAAGCAAAACGCCTGCCTGTATTTTATCGTAATGATTTTCTCAATACCTCATCTCCCCAGAGCATTCGTGCATTGTAAGTACCTTCTGTTTGCTGCTTAAGCTATTTATTAATCACATTCTTCCCTATTCAGCCCTAACCAGGAGAAATGACAGTTTTAGGCATTTCTCAGTTACCTACTGTAAATTGGCCCAATTACTATATGATCTTATAGACTATTCCTTGAGGTGTTTCACCCACTCCAGCACTGTAATTGGTTTGCTAAAAAGGAAAAAGAAGGAAAAAAAAAAAAAACAAACCTGGGTCTTAATGCTGTGCTATGGGGTTTTGTTGGAGCCTAAGTTTTTTCTTAAATGGTTAAAGGAGTTTTAGTGTATATCATTATTGCAGCAATCACATTTAATGAACGCATAAAGGCTCACCACAGTTTTAGTGGGAATATCCCAGTTTCAACATTTATAAACCTAGAAATTGAGGCGCTTTGTCTTCCCACTCAGAGTTGAGCATGGGATTGAAAATGTAATTGGGTGCCTTAACTGTTCACTGTAGATCGGAAAATATCCCCTTCACCGTCAGGGCACATGAGCATCATTTGTCTTTTGAGAACTACTTCTCAGGTGACTAGATGTTTTCCAATATCTCTGCCACCTCCACCAAAAGGGAGATGTGTGTGGGTGTGAGCTTCATCAAACCAGCAGTTCCTTGGCTTGTGTCCTGGGTGCACTCACCACCAAGGACTCCAGAAACTAGGACATGGTGCCCTGTGGCTTTGGGACGTGGATTTTATATATTTGGATTAATTTTTGAAAAACAGGTGAGAAATTGAAGATGGTACCAGATGAAAGAGTTAAGGAAGGCTTCTACTTGTCTCATTCACTTTTCTGATTTTCTGCAGACTCAGTTTAGGTTTCTTCTCTAAAATGTGCTTTCTGAACTACAGGCCTGAGTTAGTAACTTTATTCTCAGCTTTCAGCACCATATTC